GTAGTCGGATCCATCTGTGCTCATGTCTCATGTGGCTCCACAGTGCCTGCTGCTGCTGCTGCCTTCGGCCAGCGGGGGAATGTATTCGTTGGGTTCAGCAACTCACCACCAGCATCCAACCAAATCTACCGGATTAACGGCGCCACAACTTGGTATGTGTGTATGTCCTAACGTACGTATGTATGTACGTATGCATGTAGGCGGCGGAGGCGGCGGAGGAGTTCAACGACGGCAGTGGTACGGGAGAGGAGGATCTTTGCGCCAACCTGGATGCGCAAGAAGATGACACCGATGAAGACCTGGTAGGGGTGTTGTGTATGTATGCACATATGTATATATGTATATATATGTAGGTAGGTAGGTAGGTGGTGGTGATGGGAATGTTCCGAGTGGGGTAATTTTTGTTTGGTCACTATTTAGGTTTTCGCACCGCAAACCGCCAACCGCTCCTCATCCAACCATCGCATGCCGTACATTGCATACAGGCCAGACGCCACTAATAATAATAATAATAATAATAATAATAATAATAATAATAATAATAATAATAATAATAATAATAATAATAATAATAATAATAATAATAATAATAATAATAATAATGATAATGATAATGGTAATGGTAATGGTAATGATAATGATAATGATAATGATAATGATAATGATAATGATAATGATAATGATAATGATAATGATAATGATAATGATAATAATGATAATAATGATAATATTAATAATAATATAATAACAAATAATATAATAATAATAACAACAATAATAATGATAACAATAATAACAATAACAACATCAATGCTCGCTTTGTGTTGGTCTTCTCTGTGCATCCGTTTTCGGCTTTTGTGGTGCGTCGTCTCAGGCCCGTGGTCCTCCGTGTATCCCTTGCCTTGCTGGCTGCGTGGGGCCCTGGTTTTTGTTGAGTGTGTAGAGGAGGCCCCCGAGTAGAGCCCCTGCCCCCGGTGGTGTTTTCTATTTGTTCTTGTTTTGGCGGTCAAGAGGGACGAGAGCGCGTGAATAGGCAGGCCAGGCGAAGTGGCGCCTTTCGTGCGGTTCTTGCATAGATCGGTTCGCAGTCTTCTGCGCCGCTGTGTTGCCTAGCCAGGGACTGGGAGAGAGTCCCGGTTGGCGTGAGTGAGGAAATGAGGCGCGCGCGGAGGAACAGACGGACGTAAAGCCGCGCGCCCTTCCCTGCGCTGTGTTTCGGCCCGGTCAGGGCCCCCGGTGCTCGTCCTTTATCGGNCGAGCCGCCCACAGTGTAACACCCCCATCAATGATATATAAATAATAACAGCAATAATAGTCACAAATACTCGCTGTACACGTTTCGTTATTCCCAAAACATTTCTCTAATTTCAAACCCATATTGTATCGTCACCATGCCGCCCGCTGTTCTGCCAGGTGTACGACAACAGTGGTGTCGTACAGCATCCCCGCAGCCCCTCTCTAATGTCCCGTCCCCGAAGTCCCCCTCTCCCCCTGAGCCCGCGCCGCCCGGGATCCTTCAATACACATGGTGGTAGCGGCGGCGGGGGCGGTTCGCGCTCGGGGTCGCCTGCCTTGATGGGAGTTGGCAGCGCTGGCGGTGGCGGCGGAAACCTCAGCGGAGGCGGCATATCTGGGTCGCCATCAAGCCGTGCGTTGCTGTCGTCATCGTACGGCTCGCCACGGCTGCCGTCAGCGATGCCGCCGTAGGTGCTTAGACAGTGCAGTGGTTGGCGTTACGAATGTGAATGAGTGGTCGTTATGTCGTTGTCAAAAGGAGGTTACACGTACGGCGGTTACATGGCGAGGAGAGAACTAGGGCGGTACTGTGGGGTTTGCTTCCATTTACTGTACGGCAGTTGTGGCGTCGGCGGAGCTGGAGCTCCCCGCGGCCCTGAGCGCTAGCGACGGCCTCCCCTCCCCTCTCCTCCCCTGTCCTCTCCGCCCCTCTCCTCCCGGTTGCCGCTGCGCAGTCAGCGGCGAGTGTGTGTGAGTACCTGTATGGACCTGTGTGTGAACCTCAGGCTTATTCCTCGCGTGTCTATGAGCCAGCAAGTCCTGAAAGATTCATCCTGAAAGGTGGTGATGATGATGATCATCATCATCGTTTTGCAGGTTTATCTTTCCTATCCGACATGAGACATGATGTCGAAATGTTCGACTGGGAAATGGTCATTAATTTGACCCCCCCCCCCTCGGGGTGTGTGCAACGATCTGATCGACAGCAAATGAGG